TTCTTTTTTTCCAATTCCCCAATCTTGCCCTTTCCTCTTCAATGCCCCATGAGGGACTCTGAACCTCTCCATGTAGCTATCCCTGGAGCTCTGTGGCTCAGGACTATCCAAGGTGACCCAGAGGTGACATAGCTGGGACCTCCTCCAAGTAGAAATCCCTGGACTGGAGGTGAGGGGACTGTTATGCCCAGCTTGTGGAACATCAAAAAGACCAGCACCATGGAGGCGATTCACTGAATGCAAAAGCAAAGGTTTCCTTTATTCAAGCCACAGTCTGAATCCCACTCGCTAGGGAGCAAGTGGAATGTGGCTTACAGCTAAGGGTTTTTTTTTTTAAAGGGAAAGACCATATGGCTGAAAGCCTTGAGATTACAAAGCTTCTGTAGTTACACAAGATAAAACAATAACTGTATGTTTAAACAAGATATTGTAGGGGGACATTAGGTTAATTATCCCCTGGGCCAGGAACTTTTACAACCATGAATCGGTGGCTATCTGGTTTTCTTTAGGACAAAGAAATGTTGACACAGCTGATGGTGTGTTATCTGGTCTTGGGCCTTCAGTCACATACTCAGTCCTTTATTTGGCCTTATCCTTTGTGCTGTCTTAGGGAGCTCAGAAGAGCTCAGAAACTCTTTTTCCAGTATGGGCTTTGTGGTCTAAGTTTTTAGACTTTTATTAATTTTTCCTATTTCAGGGACAAATAGTCCCCGGATACCTGATGCCCATTCTGCCTGAGAAGGATGCATTACCTACAGAGATGGCCCTGAAGGGCTGGGAGCTGTTCCCCACACTGTTGTGGGCCCTACAAACGTAAGTCGTGTTGTGCTTCAAGGTCCCAACAAGCAGCTGGCTCTGAATGGTCACTTTGTGGAAGGGCTCCTGACTCAGGACTGTAGAGGGTGCATCTCTCCAAACTTGCAAGGCCTGGGCCTCGTCACACCTGGAAAGAACAGATTTTGACTCAAGGCTTTGGGGCCTTCCGTATCAGTGTGCCCCCCTCACTCATTGGGTGCCCCACCCAGATGCTCAGCCCAGGGAGGGAAGCTAAGCCCACTGACCTGTCGGTGTGGCCCCTACACAGCATCCATGTCACATTGGGCTGAGGGTACCCAGAGACATAACAGAACAGGGCATCAGAGCCATTCACGGACGTCCCTCTAATACTGACCTCTGGGAGATCTGAGGAAGAGAGGAGATGGAGGAGGGCAGGATCAGCCTTTGGGGTGAGGTCTCATCTGCCCTGAGCGTGCTACCTTTACCCCTCCTAGTACACCCAACCATGGGCAGCCTGTCCCTGTCACTCACATTGCAGGGTGAGCCCAAAGGTTAGATTGTTCCAGCCTGCCTTGTTTTGGACCATTAAGGAGTACTGGCCAGCCTCCAGGGGCTTTATGCGGTTTAGGATGAGCTTGGATGTGTACCTGCAAGACAGTGAAGAAGGGATGCTACTGTTATGAGCTGGCATCCTGTACAGGGAAGGGGCTTGTCCTTTGTTAGGATTTCAGGGCACAGAGGCCTTTTCTGAGCCAGGTCCTCAGGAGTGTGCTGTTGAGACAGGAAAAACCACCTACCCTAGGTCCTTGACTGTCCTCTCATTTTAATAGTATTCTTTGTTTCCCCAAAGGGTTATTGGAGATGATGTCCGCAAGGTCCTGGGAGGTATATCACAAGTCCTTCCTTCTTACCAATGCACTAAGCATTCACAAGCACCACAACCCCTACTGAAAATCCCTGGTCCCGGGGGATGGTGACAGAGACAAGAGACAGGGCTGATTTTGAGCTGTGTAGCTACAGAAACCAGAGGCCAAATAAATTCCAATGCTATCATTGTTGGCTGTGTTGCTTTAGACAGACATTCAACTGCTGTAGTCTTCTTTGGATCAATGGGATTCTGATGGTTTTGTTTTGTCTTTTAATTCATGGGATTGGCTTGAGGGTTGAAGGGATGTGCATTTAGAATGCTGGCCAAGCATCTGACTCATTATAGGCACTTAATTTAATGGTGCTCTTTATTATAGAAAAGTCTAAAAACAAATGCCAAAGCAAAAGGTCACCTTTGACTGATTTTCTTAGTCTCTAATGAATAATTTGTCCATTACGAGTATGTTTGTTGCTGTTGTTTGAGACAAGGTCTGATATAGACCAGGCTGGCCTCAAACTTGCTGTGTAGCCTCTAGAACTGGCCTTGAACCCCTGATCCCTCTACCTCTGTTGCTCAAGCACTGAGATAGCAGCCATCTGCCCCCATGCTCAGCTAATGAATGCATTTTTTAGGTGACGAACACATTTTTAAATGGGGCTGGAGAAATGGTTCATTGGTTTAGAGTACTGTGCTCTTGCAGAGGACCCAGGTTTGATTCCCAGCACAACCATCTATAAATCTCCAGTTCTAGAAGATTTGGCAACCTTTTCTGACCTCTGCAGGCATAAGGGGCATGGGTGTGCGCGCGCGCGCGCGTGCACCCGCACACACGTGCACAAAATATATCAAATGAAATAAATGTTTAAAATACATTTAAGATTTAACTTTATATTTTATTTTATGGGTATAAATGTTTTTTTCCTGCTTGTATGTATGTGTACCACATGTGTGTCTGCTGCCCATGGAGGCCAGAAGAGAGCAACAGGTCTGTTGGAACTTGAGTTACAGACAGTTAAGGCTTATGGGTGCTAGAAATGGAAGCTGGTTCCTCTTCAAGAACAGCAAGTGCTTTTTAACCACTGTCAGCACTAATGATAGCAAAGTACTAATTCTTGCTTGGACAAGGGCTACAGCCACTGACGGACTAGGATTCACTTACTGAAAAGTTGCCTCAGGTTGGGATTTGACTCTGTGGTAGAGTGCTCAGCTAACAAGCTTCAGGCCCTGGGTCAGGAGAGTAAGAACCTCATGGACATGCTCCATTCAGAGATAGGCAGCATCTCTACTGTGGGGGTCACAGGGCCAACCCAAGTTTTAAGAGTAGAGTAGTGCCGCACGATAGGTATGGAGGGAACATGTACCCCGAAAATATCCCAGAGCCTAGGAGGGTTTCAGGATGGTTAATCCTTTAGCAAATGAATGTTTGCATCCCTCTGCTCTGTCCCCATGTGAATGTGGCAGGTGACTTGTGGGGTTGTTATCTCCAATGCATCTTGGGGTGGAAGTCACAGTCATTTCCTACATTGGATTTGTCCATAAAAAGGACAGGAGATGAAGCTGAGAGGTCCCAAGGGACCTTGAGAACATGCACACCCAGAAACTATAGAGCAGCTACTGGGAAACAGTAGAGGAATGCACTGGGCTCCCCAGAGACACGGGGCAGGGGATAGGACAACTTGACGCAGAGGACTGATATTCGCACAGTCAGGTAAAATGAGAATAAAAAGGAAGCGGGATCCACTCACGGTGGAACAGCACAGACAGGACACAAGCATCCTCATCTCTGGCCGAACGCCCTCCCCACACCACACGCCACACACACCGAAACATGCACAGGCACGCATGCAACACACACACTCATACACACACACTCATACACACATACTCACACTCACACATACACTCACACACACATCCTCATACACACATACACACTCCACACACACACTCACACTCATACTATACTCACACACATGCACACACACACTCATACGCACAACACTCATACACACATACACTCACACACACTCCACACATACTCACACACTCACACTCATACACACTCACTCATACACATACTATACTCACATGCACACACACTCATACACACATGCACACACTCACACATACACTCACACACACTCCACACATACTCACACTCACACTCATACACACTCACTCATACACACATACACACTCCACACACACTCACACTCATACACATACTATACTCACATACACACACACACACACACTCATGCACACACAGTCCATGGGCTGATAGGCAGTACCTGCATGTGGTGGTCCTTTGAGTGGTAAAATCCAGCTTGTTCTGGTCTTCAAAGAATGGCCCTAGGTAGGTCCACTTATAACTCTGTAGGTCAGGGTAGGCGTCTACATTGACTGTGAGGGAGAGGCTCTCACCCACAATCACTTCCTGCAAGAGGCTCTGCTCAGAGGTCAAGTTTATGTAGGCACTTGCTGGAAATCAACACAGGAGATTGGTGTTAGTAGGGAGATGGCCTCCTTTTCTGTTCACTGGACCATCTACCCCTCGACCCAGGCTCTGGGCATATCTGTGCTCCTGTCTCACGGTCTCCAGCCCCAGCCAGGACTCACCTCTGTCACCCATCTCTCATCATCATCCATTCATCCACTCAACTGTTCGAACTTCCATTACCACTTGAGTCTAGAGTTATCACCTTGGACCACATGAGCTTGGACCACTGGGATAGCCTCTAATTGAATTCCTCCTCTTTCTCTCCCTGTAGACAGTCCTCCACGGAGCACCAGAAAGCCCTGCTAATCTGCCACACCCAAGTCTGACCATGATGCTACATGGCTCAAACCTCTTTCTCACCTCTTCCAAAAAAAAAAAAGACCTCGGTCCTTACATGGGATCTCAGAGCCATTGGACCGACTACCTGCCCAGTTTACCGCTCTGACCTCATATGGTATCTCTCGTTCATGCCACCCCAGCTTCACTGGCAAACTCATTCCCTGAATACAGCATACAGACCTATCTTAATGTCCCAACAGCTGCTCTACGAACTGGAGCTCTCTTGCCCAAAGTTTCGGAGCTTTCCCTCTGCCTCAAGCCTGAACACACTTCTGGCCAAAAGTTGAAAGACCATGCGTGCATTTTGTGCATTTATTGAGTGACTACTGACGCCCAAGTTAGGAAGCAAATTGGCTAGAACTCTAACAGAGAGATGACATTGCGTGAGTCCGCCTCTCTTCCCTTTACCGTGCAGAGTTCTGAGGGGTTCCTGGTGTGTGCTCTGAGGCCAGTGATTCATGCTTCCCTCCTCTCCTCCCCTCTGACTCTCAACACTTGGACTGTTAGCAGCCACACTAATAGACCACACTCAGAGCCTCTTCCCACACTGTAGAACTGCTTGGTTGTGGGATTCTCAGTCTGTGGAGTGCCACGGCTTCCCTCAATCGCCAGACAATGGGAGGGCATCTTACACCCATCATTCTTCATCCCTGTGGTTGGCACCCTCACCACCTTCTCCAGCTTGTCCTGCACCCACAATTGTGGATGTTCTTAGCTTCCCTCCGCACACCACCAGGGCGAGTCTTCTATTGTATTTGCTCGCACGCTCCAGCAGTATGGATCTTATCAGGGCTTCTTGTAGACTTTTCAAATACAGGCATCTACTATCAATATCCTCATCTTTCAGGTAAAGGAACTGAGGCACAAACAGGTTGATGGACATAATATTTGGCAGAGCAAGGTTTGATGACACCTGGAGGCAGGTGCTCCTGACTCCCAGACTCCCAGCCCTCTCCCTCATTACCCCCCCCCACCTCTCAAAAGGGCGGGATGCAAATTCTCCACCCACTCTGTTAAGGCTCCTTTGCCACCTGGCTCCTGTCTCATCTCCCTTCCCCCATAGTCATCACTCACACCTTTCCACATCTGTTGTTCTCAGCTACTTCTTGTGTCTCCGAGACGCTTGGGCTCTTTTCCCAAGCTTGCACATGCTGTTCCTCTCCTTCTCGCTGAGGCCCAACTACTCCACTCACACTCCTCCTGGCCCGGCTTGGAGGCCCCAGTTAGAGGGACCATTGGCATTTAGGGAACACAATGCTTCCCTCACAATCACAGCAGAGAAGTATTATCTGTTTGTGTGTTCACGTGACGCTGCTACCCCACGTTCTTGGGAATGAGGGAGCCAACATGAATCGCAGCAGGGGGCTGCCGGGCTCCAGTCCCAACACAGAAGAGAGTATGTTACAGTGAACCACCACCCATGCTCTGCAAGGGCTTGGAGGGAGGTTGAGGATCTAGGAAGTCTCCTAAGATGGGGCTCCAGGACCAAGCCATCCTATCTAACAGCCACAGCCCCCCCCGCCACCTGATGCTCACCCACAACCCTGAAGTTCATGGAGGCCGTGCGTGTGCCGACACCATTGCTGCCCACACAGGAATAATTGCCAGCATCTTGGAAGTCTACGGCATTGAGTCTGAGGGTCAGGACTTTTTTATAGTGGTCATTTTGGAAGTCACTGTATATGAGGGTTTCAAGCTGTAGATAGAAGGAATGGAGGTGACATACTAAACTTGTTTAGGCTCTGTATTCAAATCCCCCACATTTAAAATGATGATCTGCCCATGCTTGGCAAGGGACTAAACTGAGTCTCAATTGCTTCATCTATAAAATGGGATGAATACTGGTCCCCTGGCCCTGGGTTAAAATGAGAGTGGACAGACTCACACAGCAAGGGTTCAGGGCTGCACCTCACACATGATGCACATTGGAGTGAGGACTCTAAGAGGCAGCCTCTGCATTTCTTGCTGGGGACCCTCATCTTCCCTCTTGAAGTCTTTCTGACATAGCCAAACTGCCCCATGCTTCTAAGGGAGCCTAGGAATCCTCATTCTGGCAGAAGTGAGTGCTCCCCAAGCTGTAGCAAAGATGCAGGGTAATCTCTGGAAGGGGTTAGATGCCACCCCCAGACCTAGCAGCCCGAGTCGGCTGCTGGTACAGGGTCTCAGGCCCTCCTCTCTGCCCTCTTGAGCCCCAGCCATGTCTCCAGCCCAGAAAGCTAGCTTGAGGTGAGGATGCCCCTGTGCTGAGAAGACGGGCAGACTTCCCCACGTCATCTCCTTCCCCTGAGGACTGACCTTGGTGTCTCCACGCTTGAGGAAAACATTGAATTCAGGGTCCACGTTAGTGGCAGAGCACACAATATTGACAGTCTCCCCACGAATCCGCACCAGCTCAGTAGCCTCCAGCAGCACAATTGGGGGCCCTGGGAGGACTGAGGCCAGAAATTCAACCTATGAACGCTTAGGCTCACTGGCACTGTGCCCAACACCATGGGGTCAGTTACCCTGGTTAGTTTATAGCAGTTGGTCTCATGGTTAGAGTCCCACCCAGCACACCTCACCCCACTTGCCCTGGAGAGAAATGAGTAGTTGAACAAAGAGGATTGTTTCTGTCCTCCCCACACCCCTGGCTGCCAGCTCTGTTAACATTCCGGCATCTGTACTGGCCTGCCCTTGGGGTCCTGACGGGATACTTTCTCAGCTGCAGCCTGTAAGAGCACCACCTGTGCACATTCACTACATTCCCTTTTAAAAGGTGGGCCTTGTCCTCCCATTCCCCACCCCGTTCTCTCCCCATTCCTTTCTCTCTTTCTCTACCTGTCTCCGTCCCCATGTCCTCCCCCCTATTTATCTCTTTTCTGCTGCTCCTGTCCCCAGAGGCCAGTCTCCCCAGTCCCCTTCCCCCTTTTCACGATCCCTTTCTCCTAATTAAAAAAAAAACCTCCATGTGAGCTCTGCTGCATAGCATCTTTCTCTCTTGCAATGTTTTTTACATTACAAGCTCTCCCTCCATCTTCCATGCCTGGCCAGGCTTTTCCCGTTATACATACCTGTCTTCACTTCAAGCCGGATGCCGATGGAGAGGGATTCCATGCCGTTCACCACAGCTTTGCACTGGTAGTCATAGCTGTCAATGAACTTAACCTTGTGGATAATGAAGCCTTGCCATGGTGAGAAGGAGTAGGCTAATCTGCGTGGGACTGCTCTGCCCCTGACTCGAACTAGTGAGACCGTGGACTGCAGGGCGGGGTCGGTGATCAGGCAGGGCAGCACAGCTTCCTGGCCCTCAAACACTGTCACCTTCTCTGCTACCAAATTCCAGGGCCGGACCGGATCTGGCCAGAGGAGGGTTCAAGATGAAGACTGAACATTAGTGATGGGGAGGCTCAGAAGGCTGAATACTTGCCCAAAAGTCATACTGTACAAAGGGCCATTCAGAGAGCATTCCAGGTTGGCTGCTGTACCCAGGGCACTTGTTGCTATGTGACCTCAGAAAAAGATTCAACCCCTGTGAGCCCCTAGAAAGTGGGGGTAAATCTACCTCACCTGTGAACAAGCACCATTGTATAGGTGCTTGTTCATGGCCAATGCTCAAACTCACAAGCTTAAATCTGGCTTACTGTGCATGCTAATGCCAGAGGCTAGCCCTCCTGCCCAATACAGGGAATTTGGAGTCCTCACCTTTGACATACAAGTGGATGGTGGTGCTGCCCCCCTTGGGGTCTTCAAGTTCAGTGCAACGGTAGGTCCCAGTGTTTTTGAAAGTGGCATTTCTTGTGGTCAGGATGCTTCCAGAAGGCTGTGAGTCCAGGCTCCAGTGGGGAGAGATAGGAACATCCCATTCCACGCTGCCATTGCCCACACATCGAAGTGTCACCGTTGTACCCGGCTCTACAACCAGCTCTGGGCCACTGGGCTCAATGACAGGGGCCCCCTGACCTAAAGGAGGCAGCAGACAGTGGTGAGGCCTGGCATGTAGCCCTGCTGTCCCCCAACTGAGTTGGACCATGCTCTGACAGAGAGCTCTAATACTCAATGAGTCTGCCTCACCAACCCTTCACTTAACCCCCAAATCTGTTGGCATCTGTCCAGGGCCTCTCCTCTGAGACTGGCCTGGGAACCTCCTTAGCCTCATGTGAAGGTTTCCCCACAGAGCCCTGGGGACCCAGCCTTCTGCATATTTCCCACCCCAGGAGAGGACCTCCTCATCAATCCTATGTACAAAGCAGCTGTGACTGCAGAGCCAAGCCCAGGGTCCCATCCAAGCAAGACAAGTTTCAAACAAGCAAATGGGAAGACAGAGGGCCAAGTCCTGACTTCCCTCACTTGGGAAAAAAGACAAGATGTGAGTTTTTAGCCCAGTAGAGAGAGAGGCTCCAAGTGTCTCCTGCTGTGCCCACATTTAACCACTGGACATCAGGTCCATGCCCTGTGGGATGGCCAGAGGCCATCCATCCTTCTCACTTTGTCTCCTAGCCTACCAATGCAGACAGTGATCACACCTTCCCAGCACTTAGATTGTCCAGATACCAGGAAGTCTTAGCAGCATCACCTGCTGCCAAGTAAAGACCCGGGACTCACGTTTATGAACAAAACTGCTGAGCTACCCACTCTGCTCTCACTTCTCTGCACCTGCCGGGTTTCTCAGCAGCCAATCTCTTTTAAGGAAAATTTGCTTGAAGGAGAAAGGAGAACTTAAAACACTTGTCAGGTCTTAAGGAAGGAGGCTAGTTGCCTCTGTAGTGTCAGCAATTTTCCCAGGCCTGAAATAGGGGTGAAGGAGGGAAGTGAGAACTGATTCAAGGCCTCCGAGAGGCCGGCAGGCACCATCGGCTTGTGTGGGCGGAAACACATTGTTGTCACCCAGCTGGCCCTGGTTTCCGCCCAGCCTGTGGCCCTTCTAGACTGGCGTTCTCACTTCTGCTTCCCTGCCCTCCTGGCCATTGGCCCTCTCCGCATAGTAAGGGACTCCTGGAGAGGGGGACAGTGTGCTGGGTGCAAAGACGCCTGCCCCGTGTCACTGTCCTGTTTGCTGACCTCCACAAGTCAACCCTTCCTGCTCCAGCTGATGGTAGAGATGCAGAGACAAGGCAGGCCCAAGGGCATCAGGCCCTCAGAGTACCCCAGTGTTTCCTGCAACCACTCCTCAGGAGGCCTCTCTCTCTCTCTCTCTCTCTCTCTCTCTCTCACTCACACACACACACACACACACACACACACACACACACGAGCCAGATGGAAGTCTCTTCTCTCGAATGATTTCAGCCTGGTTTAATGTCTGCTCTGATTTCAAATCCCATCTGCCCCAGCTTCCGATCAGCCAGATGTAGAATAGAGAGAACACTGTCACTGCTGGTGTAGGTGGTGGCTTTCTTGTGCAGTGTGACTAGCAGGAAGAGGGACAAACTATTTCACCCTGGCCTGGGCTCACATTGACTAGGGCTAGGGACCTTGATAGTCATTGCTAGATGGAGAGGTTGTTGACCCTCGGGGCTTCACACTCTCTTCTGTCTGGTGGGAACAATTCCAGTGTCCACCTATGGCAGTAGAACATATAAGACCTCCTGCTCCTGTGCAAACATCCCTCTTGAACTTTCCAGATGGTAACTAAGGAGTATAACCCTTAAGGTCATAGGATAAGACCTTGGGTTCTAAGACCTGGCTCCCGCCTTATCTTCCAGACACTTTTCCCTTCCCCTGCCCAGGCTGCTCTGCTCTGCTTATCTTGGTCTCCTGTCTTGACCTCCAGATGAGTTTAGGGAGAGGCTTCTTCCCTATGTCTTCCTAGCCTGTTGTCCTGGATATTTACGCAGAAAAGGGTTGACGAACTCCGGATCCACCTCACGGCTCTCTCACTTCCTGCTGGCATGGTTGCCAGGAAGGAAGCCCACTCGTCATCTCTACCTTCCCTTGGATGAGCACTTGATGACCACTGACCCCTCCATGCCTGTCCCTTCTTCATCTCACATGTCCCTCTCAAATCCTCCCCATGACCCGAACCTGCTTTTTGTACCTACATACACCATCAGTTCCAGGAGGCACCTCCCCAACCTCCTGCACACCAGCCAAAGAGAAGAGACCATCTCTCTCTGCCTCTAAGGCTTCAACACTATTCCTACCCCCTCAGGAGCCCCCATGGGCCCGCCAGTAGCCTTTCTGGAGCTGGACATGGAACACACACACACACACACACACACACACACACACACACAGCCCTACAAGCAGTCCTCTAGATAAAGACTGAAAGAGCAGTGGGCTCGAATCCACAGGACTGTCGGGAGTGAGAAAAAGAATTTTTTTTTTTTTGGTTTTACGAGACAGGGTTTCTCTGTATTGTTTTGGAGGCTGTCGGTCCAGCCGGGCCTCGAACTCACAGAGATCTGCCTGCCTCTGCTTCCTGAGTGCTGGGATTAAAGGCATGCGCCACCACCGCCCGGCCGAGAAAGAATCTTATAAGAATGTGTGCTTCCTAATGTATACAATCACTTTCTAATGGGAAAGTACCAGTACACAAGCCAGA